GTCGAGGCTCATTCCGTGGCCTTGAGCACAGCCTGGGGAGGGGGTTAACATATCTAAAAGTTACATGTGATTCTGTTTTAGATTTGTCTGATCGCTTTTTATGGTCTCTTGGTACGTGCTTACTTTTTGGATTACAGTTTCCACTTCTTAAACATATTTTATATATAGTTATTTTACATTCTGTACTAAGTAATTCCAGTTTCCTAGTCTTTAGGGGTCTAAATCTGTGAGTGGTTGTTTCTACTGATTCTCATCAGTCTGAACGTTTGTTAATGTCTAATCGTCAGCCGTTATCTGTGACAATTCTGAGGTCCAACTTGGAGATGCTTCCCTCCAGAGACTGGCGAGATCACCTTGGGCCCCCTCGGTGACCCTTGAGACCCCTGGTTTAGCAGCCCCTATGCAGAGAAGCATACTTGTTCGCTGGCCGCAGGCTGGGTCTCTGTCCCTGTGTGTGTCCAGTGAATTATCGGCTTTCCCAGCCACTTCCCTTCATCATCCGGGCCTCCACATTACTCTGTTTGTTTACTGAGAGAGAGTCTTGCTCTGCCGCCCAGGCAGAGTGCAGTGGTGAGCTCCTAGCTCCCTGCAGCCTCGACCTCCTGGGCTCAAGTGATCCTCCTGCCTCAGTCTCCCAAGTAGCTGTGACTACAGAGTGCACCACCACACCCAGCTAATTTAAAATTTTTTGTAGAGACGGGGTCTCATCATGTTGCCCAGGCTGGTCTCGAACTCCTGGGCACAAGCAATCCTCTCGCCTCGGCTTCCTAAAGTGTTGGGATTATAAGCATGAACCACCCGACCTGGCCTTATTTATTTTTGCTGTTTAATTTTGGGGGAGCCTTGGAGATATTTACTTTCTTGGAAGCCCAGCAGTCTATTAAAAATGTATGCTCATAGTAATTCATCCAGAAGCTGGTTGTTGCTGGAAGGCCTTTTAAGGGATCTAGTACATCATATTGCCAGCAGGGCTCAGCCTGTGACCAGCAAGGTCTGGGCTCCGTCTGGGGCCAGGGTCAAGGCTCAGCCTGTGATCAGGGTCGAGGCTCATTCCGTGGCCTTGAGCACAGCCTGGTGTGTGGCTGAGTCAAGTCCAGCAGAAGTCTCGGGGTTTTCCAGCCTCCATCCGAGTCCGACTTTGATGCCTTTCCTGGTCAGACAGGAGCTGGGCCAGTGGCCAAGCTGCCAGGATGGCTTCCCCGGGGCCACGGCTGCCTTCCTTCCCCTCCTGCCTGGGCTGGCTCTGGCCGCCACTAGGGGTTGAAGATGAGGGCTCTCCTGGGAAGCTCTTGGCTGAGCATCGGCTGGCCCCGGAGCCATGAAAACAACAGCTGGGCCTGGTGGGGGTGGGGAGGCTGAGTGGAGAGGCCAGCTCCCTTGGCTGCTGGGCAGGGGCTTCTGTCCACAGCTGCCTCAGGCATTTGTTTCCAAAGGTGTTTCCAGCTTCCCAGGCCCACCCTGAGGTCCCGCACTGCCAGGGAGGTTGATGGCACGGAGCAGCGAAGCCCGGCCCCAGCCCCAGCTGCCGGATCAGCTCGCAGAGGAACACCTGTGGGGGCCTGTGGGCGGTTCAGAGGGGTGTAGGAACGCGCCTGTGGCAGGCCATAGCCCCGGATAGCAGAGGCCTGGCCTGCGGAAAAGAAGCAAGGAAGGGGTGATTCAGGAAGGCCAGAGCCCCTGTGCTGGGGCAGGGGCCCCAGCCCCTAGGACAGGACAGGCCCCACGTGGGAAGGCAGGGGCCCCAGCCCCTAGGACTGAACAGACTCCCTGTTGAGGCCCCTGGGTTCTTCCCGGGACGGTCCTTGCCTGGCCTCTTCCATGGATCCTAAGCAGCTTCCTTATTGGCCACCATCTGGGAAGCCAGGAGGGGGGCATGAAATGAGGAGGAGGTGGGGGCCCCAGCCAGGGTGCCCCTCCTCAAGGCCCCAGGTATACAGTTGGCCTTTGCCCAGTCCTTCTAGCCCCTGCCAGGGAAGGACTCCACCTGGACCCCACGAATCTCTCCCAACTTTTGCCCAGCATGGCGCCCATGATCAAAACCCCGCTTCAGGGCCCTGGGTCCCCAGGCCGGCCCCCACCCTGAGGGCGCCTCTACACCCCTTTCCCCAGAGCCCCTCCCCCAGCCTGAGGGCCAGGAACAGCCCCCTCTTCCTGCAGTCTCTCCCCTGGCCCAGGGGCCTGAACTCCTCGGGTGGAGGAGCTGAGCTGCAGCGTGGCTGTGGGGACCTCAGGGTGGCCATGGGGGCCTTGGGGTGGCCGTGGGGACTGTGGGGTGGCTGTGGGGGCCTCGGGGTGGCTGTGGGGACCTCTGCCTGGTGTTCTTTCCCAGTGGCTGGAGCCCCTGCCTTGGCCGAAAGGGAGCCCGGAGTGTGTGTGCCTGTGTGTGTCCCATCTGCGTCCCCATCATGCCTCATTCTGGGGCAGGGGGGCAGTAAGGGGCCCCGCCCCACTGGATGGAGCGAGCTTCCCACCTTGCCCCGTGTCATTTCCTGATTTGCAAAATATTTCCTGGGAGCACAGTTGTTGGCAAGCACAGCCTCAGACGGTGTGAACAGCTGGGGGGCCCCTCAGATGTGGCTCCCTCTGTCCCTCTGGCCTGTGCTGGCCTGCCCCTGCCCCCAGGCCTGTAAGCAGGGAAGGCTGTGGGGCAGGAACTCCCCAGGGTTAGTGGGCTGGTCTGAGGGCTAAGGCCCCTGCTCCCAGCCCCGCCCAACCTGCCTCTGGGGAGTCCCTCGTGTGTGGACATAGGTCAGTCCCTCCCTGCTGCCTCCTTCCGACCCTGGTCCAGGCCCCTGGGAGTTTTGGGTCTGCCCAGGGCTGTGGTCTGAGCCTGTCCTGACTGTGTCTAGGGAAGGAGCAGTGTGTCGTCCTCCTCTCCCTTTGGGGGAAGGACGTCCCAGGAGAGAGGCAAAGTGAGGGGACCCACACAAGGAAGGGGCCCTGCTATTGGGAAACCCTGGGTCATTCAGGCCTGTTACTCTCTGGCTCCCACGGGGCCGGGCTCTGTTCTCGCTGCGGCGAACCTCCTGCCCTCACCGAGGCCAGCAGCAGCCTCCACCCGGCTTCTGAATGCTGCACTCAGGAGCCCGGCCACCCCTCCCAAAGACCTCCAGCCTGCTCTGCCCCTGCTGTCCCGGTGCAGGGCCCTCCTGCCCACCCCACCCTGGTCTCAGTACTCGAGGTTCCTTCTCTCTGCCCGGAAGTCTCTTCCTCGAGTACCCTTGCGTGTGAGTCCCCAGTGACCCCCCGTTCTCACAGGGAAAACAAGTAGACCGTATCTTTCCTAGCTGGTCACGGCCCACCCCTCCTAGCCTGGCAGTGCTGGCCCGGCGCCTGTGTGTCCCCAGCGCTGAGGCTGGCGTGCGGCTGTGCCCAGCACACAGACGAGGGATGGATGGACAGATGCAGATGGTGCGGCTCCTGCCCCCTACCCAGGCTGCTCCCCGCCACCCCAGCTGCTGCTGGCACAGGGGACTGAGTGGGGTCAGCTCTGGGGCCAGAGGGGCAGTCCTGGGCTCCTGGGAAGTGAAAAGTGACCCCAGGACCTGTCTTTGACTCCAGCGAGCAGGATGACTGTAGGAGCTGGGTGGGCCCTGCTCTCTTGGTGACCCCGGCTCTGCCCCACTTACTGTTATGGGGTGGGGTCCCGGGCTCAGGCACACCCCAGAGCAGTGCCTCAGGCCCGCACTGCTGCCCCTCACCGCCCCTTCCATCTGTTCCAATGTGTGCTTGAGTACATTTATGAGATACAGGAAAACAGCAACCAAAGGCGCTGGGTGCGGGCCTGGGCGTTCTGCCCTCGGCTTGGGTCAGGGGTGGGGTCAGAGGCTTCAGGAGTTGCCCTTTTCCCCGGGGTCAAACATGACCACAGCCAGCTGGGGACAAAAGGCCCTTCTTCTTCTGCAGAAGCCTGGATTGTGCGGAGGAGGGAGCATTCCCAAAGGCGGGTGGGGGCAGGGCGGTGCCCGGGCGAGAACAGCGTCCCCAGCTTCCCGGAACCCCCTCCACCTGCCTGCAGACAGACCGGCAGGGCAGGCCGGCTCCGGGAAGTGAGGCACAAGGACTCCCACAGCCCAGGCCCAGACCGTGGGGGCAGGGTGGCCGCAGCCACACCAGGCTGCTCCCCACCCCGTGGGGCCCAAGGCCACCAGGATCAGACAGGGGCTATGCCTGCAGGAGGCAGAAGGCTTGGGGCCAGGAGCCACTGTGATCTGGCCTGACCCGTCCTTGCCCTGCCTATCTTACCCCAGGCCCCTCTCCCTGGAGAGTGGAGGGTTCCGGCTGTTATATTTGTGCTTCCTCTGGTGTCTGCCTCAAGTCCGGCCCGGGCCCTGACACTGCACCTCTGGCTGACCCCATGCTCTCTGAGACCCTCTGTCCACGTCCTTCCTCTGCGGTGGAGACAGTGGGTGGAGGGCAGGACATAGGAATGAGTCCTGAAGGCTGAGGAGCAGGGGGAGAGCTGATGGGGAGGGTCTCCTAGCAGGAGGGACTCCAGGCAGAGCTGGGAGCAAGGCAGGTGGCTGAGCTCGGCCCAGGCTGGGTGGAGGCCAGGCCTCCTGTGCCTTCTCCCGCTGACGGCGAGCTGAAGGGAGGAGGGCGGCAGCTTCCTTGAGGGCCTGAGTCACAGCCAAGAAGACCCACTCACTTTTTCCAGAAGTGCGGGAAACTTCCCCGTCAGCCCAGCAGGGCAGGCTGAGGTGTGACTGTGGCCCGCCTGCTGGGCAGGGGTGGGGGACGAGCAGGCCACTGGCTGTAAGCCTCCCCAGGGTGGGGGACCCTCGGCCCAGCTCCCTGCTTGACTACCTGGGCGTGCCCCCGCAGGGTCTGCAGCCAGCTTCCGGTCAGACTTCAGGTCCTCCAGCGGCTGTGGCCTTGAGCGTCATCTCCACAGCAGCCCCTGTGTACTGGGGGCTGGGGGGCCTGGTAAGGCCCCTCGGAGTGGCACAGCTCGCACTCTGGGGACCCAAAGTCCCCCCACCAGGCCCAGGCGGAAGCACAAGGCATTTCTGGTCCCAGCGGAGGCCTGAGGTCTGTGGAGCCCAGCCAGCACCTCCACTGCCAAGATCCCTGGCAGGGGGGGCGGGGGGCGCCGGCGGGGACACAGCTCTCCCTTGTTCCTGCCGCCAGCTCCTCAGACTCAGCCTGCTGCTTCCTTTTTTAGGCAAAGTCGAGCGGCCAGCGCTCGTCTGCACGCCCCGCGGTGTCTCACCTGCCTGAAAGGGAGGAAGGAAGCCCATGGAGCCCCATCCGTTCTCCTGCGGGGCATCCTCCAGGAGAGGGTGGGGAAGGAGGGGACATCCTGGCAGACACACCCCCATCCCCCGCCCCCCAGCTCTGAGCTGAGGAGGCCCAGGGAGAGTGCCATGGCTACTGGAGGGAGGGCTGGGGTGGGGTTCTCCTGTCCAGGGGATACTGCTGGCCCAGCCCCACCTGAGCGAGGGAAATCTGCCCTGGGGGCCTCAGGACACCCCCTGCAGCCAGCCACCTCTAGTCTGGGCCTCGCCAAGACCCCAAGACCCAAGAGCTCCTGGCTCACCAGTGGGCCCCTCCAGTCCTGCCGGGGGTGTTTCTTGGGTCCTGGAGTCTGGGCCCCTCATTGAGTAGGGTATATGGGTAACAGGCCCAGTGTGGTCCCACTGGACAGGGCCTGAAGCAGCCGTCTCCCACTCCCACGCCTCTTCCTCCAAGCAGCCCAGGTGTGGTGGGAGCTTCGAGTCTCTCTCAGATTCCTGTCTTCTGTCCCCTTTCAAGGCACTGTGTCCTTCTAAGTCCCACTCCATGGCCCTTCCAATCTCCGCTGGTCAGTCCCTAGGACACGTATCCTATTCCCCCAGACACCCACCTGCCTCCAGCTCTGTGGCCAAGGTGAAACCAGGCTCTGGACGTTTTCTGGTGCCACCGCCAGCCCCTGGGGTTCTCTTGGGTCTGGCTGCAGGGACCCCAGCACCCAGAGTCACGGCAGTGGTGGGCATGGGGAGGGCCTAGCCTGGTACCTCCCTGCTCCGCTCCTGCGGCTGGGGGTCAGAGAGGGGTGGAGAGCGCCGGCCGCACAGCCTCGGCCGGGAGGGGAGACTGGAGTGTGTGTGTGTGCGTGCCCACGCGTGCATGCCTCGGTCGTATTTCAGCTGGTGCTGCGTGTTCCTGCGTGTCGGGGTACGCTGGTGCGCCTCTCCGGGGTTTGTGCACGTGGCCCTCCGCTCGCGCAAGAGGGCGTGGGCGTGGCCTCGGCGTGGGTGTGGCCGTTCGGGGCGGGGCCTCCAGGGGGCGGGGCCGGCCTGGTCCGCGCGGTGACGCGCCCTGCAGCCGCGAGCGAGCGAGCGAGAGAGCCAGCGAGCTGCCGAGCCCCATCCGTCGCGCGCGATGCTCCCCTGGACGGCGCTCGGCCTGGCCCTGAGCTTGCGGCTGGCGCTGGCGCGGAGCGGCGCGGAGAGCGGTGAGTGCGGCAGACGGCCGGGCCGGGGTTGGGGCCCCTGGTGCCCGCTCTGCGCCGCTGCCCGCGCAGGGCCGTCGCTGTCCCCAGCTCCGAGCTGGCGGGCGGGCTGGGAGGCTGCGGGAGCCGGGCGGGGCGCGGGCGTGGGCGTGGGCGGAGCGTCCTGCTCACCTGAGGCGGGCGGCCCAGGTGCTCCAGGCGACACGGGGTGTAGGGGCCGGCCCTGTGGGATCCCGGGCCTGGACGGGAAGATGGAGATGTCTGTCGACGGGGCACCTCGCCTCAGTTTCCCTACCCTTGCAAAGGCCCTCAGTGGAGGGATGGTAGGGAAATTGGAGTCGCCCCACCGCACTGGAGAAAACCGCAAGGCCGGGACTAGAATTGAGGCACGCTGCTGGTCCCTGGCTTGGTGCGGAGGGGTGGTGTGGGGGGCATCAGCCTCCACCCCGGGGGTGCCGGGAGGAAGGGGGAAGCCTGCGAGGGGTTGATCGGGCTTTCAGGCAGCTTGGGGGTGTGTGTCTTGTGTGGGTCCAGGTGGGCTGGTGGATGGAGGCCAGGGGAGGGGACACCATCTGGTAAGTGGGGTCTGGGCTCCAGCCAGGCCATCCGGCGGGGTCATTGCTCTGCCTGCTACACCTTCCCCTGCTGCTGTGTGCGTGCCCACGGTGCCTCACCTGGAGGCTGAGCTGCGTGGCTGAACTCCAGCCTCGGGCTGCTCCTCTGAAAGCCATGCCTGGAGGGAGCAGCGCCATGGCTCAGGCCTGTCCTGAGGGCCTAGGCCAGGATTCGGCTCCACCAGCTCGCAGGGTCTGTGAGGAATGGGAAGGTGTGGGGGCTTGGAGCGGGGAGTCGTCCTCTCACAGACGGGATAACACCAGCGCAGAGAGAGCTGTAGGTCCTCTGGCCAGTGTGCAGAGTGAAAGCCCCAAAAGTACAGGCCTCTTGCTTGGCTTAGAGTTCCTCTTTCCCCCAACCTAGGACCTTTGGGGGAGGGCAAGCACCCACCTAAGGAAAGCTGAGGCCCTGGGGGACCCTGCCTTGCTGTGGGGGTGTCTGGGGGGCCCACACCTGAGGCTGAGCATTCCTCCTTTCCCCCAGGTCCACCAGCATCGGCCCCCCGAGGGGACCTGATGTTCCTGCTGGACAGCTTGGCCAGCGTGTCTCACTACGAGTTCTCCCGGGTTCGGGAGTTTGTGGGGCAGCTGGTGGCTCCACTGCCCCTGGGCACCGGGGCCCTGCGTGCCAGCCTGGTGCACGTGGGCACTCGGCCGTCCGCTGAGTCCTCCTTCGGCCAACACAGCTCAGGCGAGGCTGCTCAGGATGCTGTTCGCGCTTCGGTCCAGCGCATGGGTGACACTCACACTGGCCTGGCGCTGGCATATGCCAAGGAACAGCTCTTTGCTGAAGCAGCAGGTGCCCGGCCAGGAGTGCCCAAGGTGCTGGTGTGGGTGACAGATGGCGGCTCCAGCGACCCTGTGGGACCCCCCATGCAGGAGCTAAAAGACTTGGGCGTCACCGTGTTCATCGTCAGCACTGGCCGAGGCAACTTTCTGGAGCTGTCAGCTGCTGCCTCAGCCCCTGCCAAGAAGCACCTGCACTTTGTGGACGTGGATGACCTGCACATCATCGTCCAAGAGCTGAGGGGCTCCATCCTCGGTAGGTGGGAGGAGGCAGGGCCCAGGGATCCCTAGCTGGGAGCTGCAGGAGGAGAGGCTGGGTTGAGACTTTGGGAATATCTCATGTCCCCAGAACAGCGGCCAGGGCCTCCGGGGCTGTGGTACCCCTAGGGCGCAGGGCTGAGTGATGCAGCTTCTCTGTGCACGCTCTCCACCGGCTGACCCATGCGCCCTGCTGAGATGGGGGCTTGAGTAGCCACCTCCAAGTGTAGCTCCCTGCTGACAGGTCCAGCCCAGACCTCGAGGCCCCATGGAGTGCAGAGCCCAGGTGTAGGCCCAGGAAGAAGCTCGCGAGTCTGGGGACTCTGCAGATGGGCAGCATGTGCTCCTGGGCATGCCCACCATACCTGGAGAGGGGAGAGCCAGAAAGGTCAGGGACTGCCCCCTAGAGAGCACGGGGTACCTCTCCTGGGTCGGGACAGCCACCGAGGGCTTTGAACAGGTTCGGACTGCAGGCCTACCGTGAGGATTTCCTGAGAGGCCAGGCCAGGGAAGGCCTGAGGCAGGAGCTGAGCAGCTCCCATTGGCTTTTTTCTGGACATCTCTGCCCCAGCCAAGCCCTGAAGGAGTTGAGGCTGGAGATGAGGAAACTGGCCATTGGCTCAGCCTGCTGTAGCCACTGAAAAATACCACTAAGCCCGGGGATCTCACCAAGTCTCGTCTGTGGGTTAATCATCCACCCAGAGCCGGAAGGGGTTGGACTGTGGGTTGGACAGGGGTGGACGGCCCGCCCCAAGGTTTCTCCAGGGACGTCTGACCCCTAGTGGCCCCAGGGTCACCCAGTGCAGCTGTGCCTGGAGGGGACCAGAAGGAAAGACTGCCTTAAGTAGCTGGAAAGGAAAAGCCTGAGGCTGCAGTGCAGAGGGGCCAGGCAGCAGGGTGGGGGCTCCTGGGAAAGAGGCTGGGTCTGAGGGTGGGGGTGGGAAGAAAGTGGCACAAGCACCCAGCACTACAGGAGGAAGATCCTGATAGCTTTAACCCAGCGCAGACATTTATGAGCCTCGCCACAGCAGGTCACTCAGAGGGCTATGTGGGGCTTGGTGTCAAGGGCCCAGTAGTCCCCCTCTGGAGTACCCCACCCCACGCTCTCCTGGGGACCCGGGGCAGACAGCGCCTCCAGAACCCCAGGGCCTGCCCCTGTGATCTCCCATCTCCTGGCTGCAGCTCAGAGAGCCGGGCTGACCTCAGACCCGGGCCTGGCCACTCAGGCTGGGGTGGTCCTCTGCTCTCAGGTACCACCGTGGACCCTGCTGTCTTTGAGGACCTTTGTCCTGGTCACTGATCTGGCCACTGCACCTCTCCACAAAGGACTGGGTTTGGGCTGAGGGAGGCAGGGGCGCTTCTGACAGGGCGTGAGGGGGCTGCACCCCCTTCCTCAGTCCTCCCCCAGCCAAGGCACGCTCTAAGAATCCCCAGCATCTGCGGGGCATGGCTCCAGCAGCTCCTTGGCCGCGGGGCCCCGTCTTTCCTAGTGGGGCCTCCAATCTCCAGATCTTCCCCATCAGCCAGGGCCGCCCTCCAGGAGCGGAGGAGGAACTGATCGCTGCTCCCCGACCCCCTGCACCACCCACAGACGCGATGCGGCTGCAGCAGCTGCGTGCCACGGAGATCACGTCCAGCGGCTTCCGCCTGGCCTGGCCGCCCCTGCTGACCGCAGACTCGGGCTACTATGTGCTGGAGCTGGTGCCCAGTGCCCAGCCGGAGGCTGCGAGACGCCAGCAGCTGCCGGGGAACGCCACAGACTGGACCTGGGCCGGCCTCGACCCAGACACGGACTACGACGTGGCGCGCTGGTGCCTGAGTCCAACGTGCGCCTCCTGAGGCCCCAGCAACTGCGGGTGCGCACGCGGCCAGGTGAAGCAGGGCCGGGGGCTGGGCCGGCCCCCACCCAGCTCGCCGCCCTCCCCGCCCCGGAGGAGGCCGGCCCGGAGCGCATCGTCATCTCCCACGCCCGGCCGCGCAGCCTCCGCGTGAGCTGGGCCCCAGCGCTGGGCGCAGCCGCCGCGCTCGGCTACCACGTGCAGTTCGGGCCGCTGGGGGGCGGGGCGGCGCAGCGCGTGGAGGTGCCTGCGGGCCGCAACTGCACCACGCTGCAGGGCCTGGCGCCAGGCACCGCCTACCTGGTGACCGTGACCGCCGCCTTCCGCTCGGGCCGCGAGAGCGCGCTGTCCGCCAAGGCCTGCACGGCCGCCGGCCCGCACCCACGACCACGCCCCTTGCCCCGTGCTTCGACCCCGGGGACCGCGAGCCGTGAGCCGTAATCCGGCATCCCCGCCCTGCCGAGAGGCCCGGCGCCGACCCGAGGGCCCCTGTAACCCGAACCCGGTGCGGAGGCGCCCAGCTCGGGAGAAGGGTGCAGGCCCGGCCTTTCCCCACGCGGACTCCGCACGACCCCGGCCCTCTCCCTGTGGCCACAGGGCTTCCCCGCCTGGCGCCTGCCCTCCAGGGCTGGGGCCTCGCCTGGTGGGACCGCGCAGCAGCTCTGGCCCCATCCCCGCCCCGAGTCAGGCGTGCTGTCGGCTCGTGGGTCGTGTTGAGAGCATCAGACCCAGGACCGTCCAGGGAGGAGCCCCGGTCAGACTCCCACGTGTGAAGACTCGGTCCCAGGTGGCAAGGGCTGGCCTGGGGTGGGCAGCTTGGGCCCTGGACGCTGATAGGAAGTGGAAGGGGAATCGCGGGAGAAGCTGGCCCAGGTCAGGTCCCAAAGGCTTCTAAAGAAAAGGAAGGGCAGGTAGGGGCCCCTGGACGCTGGTGGTGTGGCCAGGATGCTCAGCCAGCCAGGAGGGCATCGCCTGCTGGGGACGGTGGCCCTGCCTTCATGCCCAGGACACCAGCTGGGTCCAGCTAGCAGCCACTGGGAATCAGAGGAATGGGGCAGAGCCGGGCATTCAGGACCTTGAGGACAGGTGACCTCACCCACCCACCTCCACGGTCAGGCCCCGGGACCGCACTGACAGGAAGCCTTGTGTGGGAGCGCTTCCCAGGGGCTGCAGGGACGACGCTCTCCAGGGAGGCCCCAGCGACCACACCATCTTTTGGCTGTGAGAGGTCTCGCCCCTGGGCCACATGCTGTCACTACTCACTACCCTGGGGCCCGCGGGCGAGTTGCCCAGGGTGGGGGTGCCTAGCCAGGCGCACTCCCTGCCCCGCCTAGTCCTTGGCTCCCAGGACTGTGGTGTCACGCAATGCTCACCTCCCCTCTTCCCCACTAACGTCCCAGACGTTAAAATTCAGTAAATCAGATGTACACCGAGCCTGCAGTCTCCTCAGGATGCTTTCCTCCTCCACAAACAGCAGCCACGGACAGGACAGCTTGTGAAGTTCTCCTCCGCCCTTTGGGGTGTCCGGGCAGAGGAGGTGGAGCTGTCCCCTCCCAGTGCCAGGCCTCGTTGGTCCCCCTGTGCACCTTTTATTCAGAGAGGCTGGGCCCAGGGCAGGTGGCTGGAATGCAGAGGACAAGGGGGCTGGGGCCTCTGCAGGGCCATTCCCACCACAGCCTCTGCCACGACCCATAGCCCTGGGCCCAGCCGCATGCAGGCTCCCTCTGCTGGCAAAGCCGCACCGTGCACCGCGTGGGGTCCACTGCCCCTTTCCCCAGGTGGACTCATGTGACCCCAGGAACTGCAGCACTGAGGTGGTCTCAGTCCCTCCCTCAGACCTGGTGGGCGTTGTGCCAGGGGCCTCCTTTGGGACAGCTGGCCTTGGCACTGTCTCCCGAGAACCCAGCTCTGTGCATCCCCTGGCCCCACCAGACACCCAAGTCCGCACCACCCACCAGCTGGGTGTGGTGACCATTCGTGGGGGGCTGGCTGGGGTCAGGCTCACCACACAGAGTTTGCCCTCCGGTGTGATTATAAGTGAGACACAGGAGGCCCCCTTGCCTGTGTGTGCAGGAGGTGTCTGTGGGGGGGCGCCCAGCTGGCTGGACTTCGGGTTTCTCCTGAGCTCCACACAGCCCCCAAGTCAGGCCACGGAGGCCCGAGCAGGACCCAGGGGCTGTGTGTGTCACTGCAGATGGCGTGCTCACAACTGCACTGCTGGTCAGCAGGTGGCCAGGGTCTCAGGCTCGGGTGTCCGGTCCCACCTCCTGTCGAGGGGTAGACTTTCCTTCATGCAGCCCCTGCCCCCTACCCCACCTCCCGTGACACAATCCTGGCCCCGACTCAGTCTCCTCAGGATGCAGTGCAGAGGCTGACACCCGCCAGGACTTCCTTGCCAAGGGCCTGACCACGTCACGAGGGTTCTCCTCCGCCTTTTGGGGTGTCCGGGGAGAGGAGGTGGAGCTGTCCCCTCCCAGTGCCAGGCCTCGTTGGTCCCCCTGTGCACCTTTTATTCAGAGAGGCTGGGCCCCCTTCCTGTGGGGCTGGGCCCAGGGCAGGTGGCTGGAATGCAGAGGACAAGGGGGCTGGGGCCTCTGCAGGGCCATTCCCACCACAGCCTCTGCCACGACCCATAGCCCTGGGCCCAGCCGCAGGCGGGCTCCCTCTGCTGGCAAAGCCGCACCCTGCACTGCGTGGGGTCCACTGCCCCTTTCCCTAGGTGGACTCACGTGACCCCAGGAACTGCAGCATTGAGGTGGTCTCAGTCCCTCCCTCAGACCTGGTGGGCATTGTGCCAGGGGCCTCCTTCGGGACAGCTGGCCTTGCCACTGTCTCCCAAGAACCTAGCTCTGTGCATCCCATGGCCCCACCAGACACCCAAGTCCGCACCACCCACCAGCTGGGTGTGGTGACCATTCGTGGGGGACTGGCTGGGGTCAGGCTCACCACACAGAGTTTGCCCTCCGGTGTGATTATAAGTGAGACACAGGAGGCCCCCCTGCCTGTGTGTGCAGGAGGTGTCTGTTGTGGGGGGCCCCAGCTGGCTGGACTTTGGGTTTCTCCTGAGCTCCCCTCAGCCCCCAAGTCAGGCCACGGAGGCCTGAGCAGGACCCAGGGGCTGTGTGTGTCACTGCAGATGGCGTGCTCACAACTGCATTGCTGGTCAGCAGGTGGCCAGGGTCTCAGGCTCGGGTCTCCGGTCCTACCTCCTGTCGAGGGGTAGACTTTCCTTCATGCAGCCCCTGCCCCCTACCCCATTCTCCAGGGTGATGGCAGATCTGAGCCCACGGTCACCTGAGAGGAGATGTCCCTTGCACACTGAGCCCAGGCCCAGTTCATGGAGTGCCCTGTGGGTGGCAGCGGGGCACCAGGGGCTCATTCCTGATGGCCTCAGTGGCTTCTGTGGACGACTCAGACTCACATGAGAAGCTGGGGGGGGCTCCAGCTCTGCAATCCTGAGAGGGCAGAGCGGTGGCCCTGGCCACAACCCTGCTCCCCACATACCCGTCTGGCAGAGGCTGTACCTCCCTTCTGCTCATCTCTGCACACCAAGGCCTAGCACAGCACAAGGCCTCCCAGAGAGGGTGAAAGGCACTGCCGCCTCCATCTCCGTGTCAAGGAATGCCCCTTCCAGAGGCCCTCGTCTGGGAAGTGTTGCCCCTTATGTAGCCCCAGGCATTTTGAAGTCTTTGAATCTGTACCAAGTGTGCAACCAACTCTGGCCCCGGCGTGTTCCATCCAGGCCTCTGTGAACCTGCTGTCCCGTGGCTCCTCCAGCTCCCCCGACACAATCCTGGCCCCGACTCAGTCCACTCAGGGTGCAGTGCAGAGGCTGACACCCGCCAGGACTTCCTTGCCAAGGGCCTGACCACATCACGAGGCCACTGCATGCTTTTCGACATGCACCTGGAAATCAGGAAGGGCCATCCTGCGGTTGCTTCTAGTTGAGACAAGAAGAGCGACAAGATTGTGATCCACGTGACAGGTGTTCAGAAGGCCAGGGGCGGGCAGGGCTGGGGAGAGCCCTGGGCACTTTGAGGAGACCCCGAAGGGAGGCTGCTCCCACATCTGAAGAGAACCAACCTGAGGATTTCACGCTGGCTGCGTGCCAGACCAGTCCCTGATAGGTTGTGCAAGGTCCTTTGCTGGACAGCCCAATTGCTGGCCACTGAAAAGGAGAGGCAGAAATTCGGGCCATGCCTCCATGAGCGATGACAGAGCAGCAGCTCTCCAGCATGTGCAACTCTGCAGACACGCCGGCCGTGTGGCTCACGCCTGTAATCTCAGTGCTTTGGGAGGCCAAGGCGGGTGGATCACGAGGTCAGGAGTTCAAGACCAGCCTGGCCAAGATGGTGAAACCCCGTCTCCTATAAAAATATACAAAAAAATTAGCCGGGTGTGGTGGCACACGCCTGTAATCCTAGCTACTCCAGAGGCTGAAGCAGAGAATTGCTTTAAACCTGGAGGGGCCGGAGTTGCAGTGAGCCGTGAGTTCCCACCACCGCACTCCCCAACCTGGGCAACAAAGCGAGACTCCAAACCTCAAAAAAAGAAGATAGAAAAAGAAACTCGGCCGGCGCGGTGGCTCAAGCCTGTAATCCCAGCACTTTGGAGGCCGAGACGGCGCGATCACAGGTCAGAGATCGAGGGACACAATCCTGGCCTAATCCGGTGAAACCCGGTCCTACTATAAAAACTTACAAAAAACGAAAAAAAAAAAAAAAAAAAATACGCTAGCGCGAGGTGGCGGTCGCCTGTAGTTACCCAGCCTACCTCGGCTGAGGTCGAAGGCAGGAGAATCGCGGGGAACCGCCGGGAGGCCCGGCAGCTTGGCAGTGACAGAGATCCGGGCCACCTGCACTCCAGCCTGGGTGACAGAGGCGAGACTCGTCATCAAAAAAAAAAAAAAAAGAAAACACTCTCCAGAGAGAGCTGTTCACGAGAAGCCAGACAGAGGCCTGGGGTCTCAGTCCAGATTTCTAGGAAGTGGGGTGGCCACGCGGGGGCACGCTGCTGGGAACCACCTAGGGAAGCTGGTTGCCGCCCTGTTTCATGGTGACAGTAATAAACCAAGTCAAATCCCGAGGCACAGCCCACATGACAGCCTCCCGCCAGAGAGGGGACAGTTTAGGAGATCAGCTCCAGGGCAGTAGCTGTGTGTTTCCTGCTTTTTTTTTTTTTTTTTTTTTTGGAGACAGAGTCTTGTTCTGTCACCCAGGCTGGAGTCCGGTGGTGCGATCTCAGCTCACTGCAACCTCTGCCTACCAGGTTCAATGATTCTCCTGCCTCAGCCTCCTGAGTAGCTGTGATTTAAGGTGCCACCATGCTGGCTAAATTTTGTATTTTTAGTAGAGACAGGGTTTCTCCATGTTGGTCAGGCTGGTCTTGAACTCCTGACCTCAGGTGATCAACCGCCTCGGCCTCCCAAAGTGCTGGGATTACAGGCTGTGAGCCCACCACTCCTGGCAAAAATTTTTAAGGAATGGGGTCTTCCTATGTTACCCGGGGCTGTTCTCAAACTCCTGACCACAAAGGATTCTCTTGCCTTGGCCTTCCACAATGCTGGGGATGCAGACCAGGAGCCACCATGCCCGGCCTGGCACTGCGCTTCCGTTTGCCTCTCATGAATCAGTGCACTTTGAGGATGTTGGCAGGGGCTGACCGGTTTCAGGGAGCCCTATGGAGAACCGTGAGCCCTGTGGCTGGAGCTGGTGTCTGTTTAGCTAATAAAGTCACACAGGTGCCTCACTGCGGGTTCTATTTGCTGATGCTACGTGGGGTTTCAGGGGCCTCCTAGCTTCCTCCTGGGGTCAAAGGTGACAGAAGAGGGCAGAGGCTGGAGCTTTCTGGAGAATTTACTGACCACAGCGTGGTGCACTTGAAATCAGGCGCCTGCCATGGCCGGCCGGGGTCTGAATGCTGCCCGGGACCAGCTGCCTGCGCTCCACCAGCCCCCCCTCCTCCTGAAGGGCCAGGTCCCCCCGAAAAGAATCGAGGCCTGCAGAGTGATGTGGGGGCCAGCGGTGACTTCATACCACACTGTTCTCAGGTGTAAGAGGGCCCGCTTCTGCCCAGGCATTGTCCGTGGAAGACATGCAGCCGGCCACTGCAGCCTCGGTCCTGGGATGCCTTGCGGCTGGGTCACAGAGGGCCATGGGCCACGCTGGGAGGCCACAGTCCTGTCGTGCCATGTAGCTCCCTGTTCCCAGAGGTCTGCTCAGATGCAGAGGTCAGGAACCACACTCGCTGCCTGAATTCTGGGAGCAGAGCCGGTACCACTGCCTGGCGGGCCTACTCGGACTCCGCCCTTGTCCCGCTGGCCCGGGCTCGTGAGGCAACTGCGTCCCTATCCTGGCTCAAGGTCAGGCTGCACCTGGAACCTGCACGCACTCCTCCAGGTCTCAATGCTGGAGGACTCTCTCAGACAGGAAAC